TGGCTGGTTCCTGGCTTTGCCCCGCTCTCAGGGAGGCTGTCAGCCCCCCAGCTGGCTCCTGCCTCCACCCACCACCCTTCTCCCTTAGTGTCACCTGGCCAGGGTGGGAGCTGAGGCCATATTTTGGGTCCTGTGTTGGCCCCCCTTGTGCTGGGAAGTAGGTGGGGCACTGAGATGCTTGGCAGCTCACTCCTGGGGATGGGATGGGCTTTTCTGGGCAGTTTTCTCTTAAACCCCAGATTTCATCGAGGCTGCTGCTGCTTTTCAGCCTCTTCCTCTCCCCGTTTTGTCTCCCTCCCCTGGACAAAGCTCCCTGCGGTGTTTCCCCTCCTGGCTTTTCCCCATGTCCCATGGAAGAGCTGGGCTTGAGCAAACCAACTGCCCCCAGCCCAACTGGTGGGTCCCATGGACCGAGACCTCCTCTGCCTCCCACCCCAGCCCTCACCTTCACCCAGAGCTTTGAACTTGCACCCTGCTGAGGAGGGGGATGATGGGTTTGGGGGGGGGTTGCTGTAGCTGCAGCCTGGGCTGATGACCTGAGGAGGACCAAGGATGGTTTCAGTTCCTTCTTGCTCTTTCTCACGTACCCTACTTATGATAAATAAAAATAAAAAGAGAAGCTCAGAGCAGCCCTTCCCTTTGAGTAAAATATTAACTGGCTCTTACAGCTAGCTGATTAAATATCCTTTAGGACAAAGTTACATCTGATCTTGGGTGAAGGAGTCTTTGGAAGTGGGTGTAGCTGCTCCCCTGGGAGAAGCAGAGGAGCCTGGCCCTGACGGCAGGGGAGGCTGCTCCCCCCTGCACAGCCCCACAGCTTAATTTATTATTTTTATTTCCCCCCCACAACCCCGTGCTGGCTCGGTGCTCACGCTGGTTAAATGTTAGCCGGGGCTGGCGTGCAGCACTGTGCTTGCCCTGCAATAAGCAGCGTCCCTGCCCGGCCGTGCTCCCGGCTCCAATCCCCGTCGTGCCCAGAGCCGGGCAGCAGGCAAAGTTCAGGGCTTGTTTGTTCCAGGGAGATAAGGCGAGGACACCTGGCAGCGTGCAGGCAGCTCGCAGGGCTGTTACTCATTTGTTAGAAATCGTTGTTTGCCTTGTGGTAGAAGGTTTCTCCTCCCCTCTGCTCTCTCAGCCCAGCTGCACAGAACGTCTTGTGGCTCGTGTGTGATTCTGGGCTCGTGTCCCCATGTGGAAGCCTGGAGAAGGGTCCCCAAAGATGCCGGGGTGGCCCTGGTCCTCCTGGTGGGATGGAGAAGTGTCAGCACGGGGCTGGCTGGAGTGCTTTCGGGTGCTTTAGTGCTCCAGATGTGACCCTGCCACTTGCATTGCCCCAAAAACTTGATGGGTTGGGCTCGTGCCAGACATGGTGCCACCAAAGCACCTTGGTTCCCGTTGATCTCCATCCCCACTCACCCGCCTTGTGTCGTGCTGCCAGGCCCATCACCCGCAGGCAGACCCTCGCTCCAGACAGGGCTTGTCCTGGGAACAGGAGTTCCCTGGAGGGAGGATGCTCCGGGTCGCCATCCTCTGCTCCCTGGGGAGCTCAGCCCCACAGGCAGCACCCTGCCCTCTCCCAAGTTTGGGTGCTCTGTGGGTGCTCTGCACTGGGCTGGTGCCTGGGGTGCAGCGAGGCAGGAGGGAGCAGGGGGGGACATCTCCCCTCTGCCCCATTCCCGGGATGCTCTGGGGCAATGGCCAGCACAGACCAAGTCTGGGTCTGAAGGCAACAGCGGTTTAATGCAGGCTCCAGGACTACGGCTCGATCCCACATCCAGCCCCGTGCTTCTCCTTTTCAGCCCCACAGCCCTTTTCACTTTCATTTCTCTTTGGTTTTACCTCCCCTCTGCCCGAGCCCCGGTGGGGTGTTTGTTTCAGGGAAACCGTCTGCAGCAAGTGGGTTTGAACAGCTTCTCTACAGGGCCAGGTGTTTGGTTTATATCTATCTATATACATAAAAAAACCCCTAAGCAAACATATAGGTGCTGGTTGCTTATGGGGAGATACCCAGTCATCTCCTTCCTCCTTAGCACCTGCAAAATGAACCGGTGACTTTGCTTAATGCAGCTGGGGGAGGCAGGAGGGTTATTCGGGAGGGATCAGATGTATGAAAGTGAGAGCCAGGGTAGATGTTGAGCTTCCAGGCAGCTTGGGCTAAAAGAGACACTAAAATCTTGTGGAAAAACACTGGGGGGAAAGACTGTTCTCTCTTGAAAAGACTTGCTGAAGATGCCACGCAGCTCCTCTGTGGGTTTTCCTTCACCCTGCGTCGCTGCGTGCCTGAAGCATCCTTCCCGGCGCCTCTGTCCTCGGGAGTCTCATCATTTCAGGCGGGGAAAAACTTGGGGGACAAGTATCTTGCGTGGCAGGAGACAGCCAGCTGTGCTTTTGGGGAGGAGCAGAGCCCTTGGGCTTTCCAGGAGCCCTTCCCCC